GGTGTAAGTTACCATATGCCGCATAATTTTCTCTACTAGAAGCGTACATACATTTATTTGTACACCAAAAATACTAGTACGGTATATTTATTTTAATGAGGATCATTAAAATATGCACTACTAATAAAAGAAATATGGTAACTCAAGTTAGCAGACAGACATTGTATTTGCGCTAAGGCTTAAATTTTGGAACGTAATTATCATAAAAGGGAGACCATTGCCATTCATAAACAGTGAGAATCAGATGTTTTCATTTTTCTCATTATAAAATACCGGCTAACCAATCACAATTCAATTCAGGTTTAATATGGTTTCACTTTCACAGTAATTTATTTCTTCTGACTCGTCTATTGAAGCAATAAAATGACAGGAAATGAAATTGGTTGAAATCTCCTCTAATTTCCCCCGCAGTATTATATTACTAAACATAGGGAAACTATTGTAGACTTTCACAATATTAAAGCGCCAAAAAAAACAGGGAAGGTAACAAACTAATAGGTGATTTTCCACTCACAGTGAGATGTGCGTGAAAGGGGTGAATCAAACATCTGTCCCAAAAAATGTAATGACTTGATTTTGAATTTGTCTGTTTTCATAGTTCAATGTCGAAATGTTGATCTTCCAGAGAGGGATATAGTAGTGGGTTACTCGTACATGTACTTCACAGAGCGGGATATAGTAGTGGGTTACCCGTATATGTACTTCATAGAGCGGGATATAGTAGTGGGTTACCCGTACATGTACTTCATCAAAACTGACCATCATCATAAGCAAGGAAATAACCCAAAAATAATGTTTTGAGCTACAACATGTACCACAATATAATCTTTGTTTGTCCTGTTTTCACTTTTGATTTCATGAAATTCCTGAAACAATGTGAGAATATATACATGTTGCTTGAAAAATATCGATTAAAATTAGGTGGGAGCAATTCTGACCAAAATGGACAAAAACAATGATGTCATCATAACTACATACAAAAAAAAAATATTCATGTTCCCTAAATGTCCCTCATAAAATAATATAACATACGACTTGCACAAAAGTTCCTTAAAATAACAGTACAGCAACATATGTAAGCAAAAGTACTAGCCAGCATGTTCCGCAATTAATACTACATGTACTGTATTAGTCTCAATATCCCTTTAAAGAATAACATAACAAATTGTATAAAAGTTTCAAATAATAGTACAGTAATCAATTATTCTGAGTTTGATATTTGAATCTTGGTAATCTTTCAAATTAATGTAGTTATGTGCATGGAATCTGTAATTGTCAATGCCAAAAAAAGTATTGATCCTGACTAAGAACTCTAGTTGACACTTAAAACTATCAGTTACATTACAAGGACAACTATTTAAAACTACCAGTATATATTTCAAAGTCTAATAATGTACAAAGCACTTAATAAACTGACAATTTTTATTATGCCAGTAATCATCTACTTGACAGGCCTTCAATACAAAGAACATAAAAACATACAACATTGACCTACATAACCAGTTTCAATTCATTCATTCATTCAGGTTTTTTTCATATCCATTTTTGCAACCAATTGCTAAGATTAATTATTAATGGAATTATTCATCATTTCAAAACATGTCACCACCTACAGAAAGGTAAATTGTTTATAAAATTGTTTTACATTGGCATATTTTAATTTTCTCCATGACTCTTCAGAATGCCATCTTCACCCTGTTTGAAAAATGTCCACATACAATAGACATCACGGCCAAAACCTTGAATATTTCATTTAGCTGAAACTCTGACTGACAATGGTTGTGGAAGGGCTACATGGTATCAAGAACATAAAAAAGCTAAACATTGATCAGCTGTCAGCTACATCAATTAGGTAAATGTCAGTAAATTGCTTCTAACTCTTGATAAATAGCAGTCAATTATTCTGTTTTAAGGGGCTAATGATAAAATAGTTTGGTATAAAGTCCAATAAAACAAGTGTCATCACAAGATGAAATACATGACATATGTATCTGCTCTATTAGAAGTGCACATAAACCAAAAACTACTTTTATTTTATACTAGACCATTAAAATGTGATTTAGTGTTACTAATCCAAATACTACAGTATCAAATCGTCAAAATTCACCAAAAAACGAAAGGCATTTCATTTGTAGGGAATTTGGGAGGGGTCATCAAAGGGCCATTTTAGGTCATGAACTTCAACTTATAATTTTCGTAGTAGTATTTTTTTTGCATTTATAGTCAGTTAAAAAAAATCCTACTTTCATTTATGCAAGCAGAATGTATGATTTTACATAAAATGCCTTTTGTTTTTTGGCAAACTTTGAGAACACTCCTAACCAGGAAAGCACTTAGAGTCAAACAAGAAAAACAAAACAATGCAAATATTAGTGCAGAGCTCTCTACAGACATTTACTTTGGGGTATTAGGCTCAAAAAGCATCTCCCTTTTCCTCATTTAACACAGATTAGAGTAATTGAGTACTTAACAATTTAAATATGGATTATCCCTAACCTAATCCAATCATTCCGGTAACACAGCTGACTGAATCTTAAATGTTGCCATGACAATGATATAGATCAACAACAATGCATAATCATTGACATAATGTTTTACTGAATGAAACCCTACATACATTGTGATGCTCCCATGATGCATTGTGGTGCTCCCATGATGCATTGTGGTGCTCCCATGATGCACCTTGTTTATATGCACAGTAGAGCGATTATTTCCTTTCTAAGACAAATTATTTACATAAGATGCAATCATCTGTCTGTTACAACAGAAAATTGTTTGAATTAATGATGTTGATGCACCATGGGCTGTTCATACTACCGGTACTAGTCTAAATTACTGCAAGTGATTTCAATGGAATCATTAAGGTTTATATCCGCAATAAAAATGGATGTACAATCAATAACATTGAGTACTTCCTAAATAGGTAGATCACCCCTTATTAGGATTGGCAGATTATCTAGTTAACCATGTTTATTTAACAGACATTTAATCTGTTTTTACAAACTTTTTTATGTTTGGCCAACCAAGCAAGAATTCCTCAATTAGTGATCAATGACCTGTACATGAACTTAATTCCATCATAGTTTTCAAATCTACAGTCAGTCTAGTATGGCACATACATGATAACATAATGTCAGTGACCCTAATAAGAAGTGCCTGGGAACCCAATGCTTATAGAACTTTTCCCAGGTTCTGAGCCTTGCTTGCATACAGTTTGTAGCTGCCACAATAATTATTTTCTGAATTCTCATTTCATGCTACAATAACACTTTACAAGGTATTTATCTTCCTCATCATTTCCCACAATGCCATCACAAGTATGCCATCAATTCTACTCATGATGGCTCTCTGAATCATGCTTCACCTTGCATCTTGTGTTGTACTGGTAATCTATTCTTGATTGGGCTTCCATACAATTTTGAGTCTGGGTTCCTTGTTTCTTTGACTAGCTCAAAAGGTGTTAAATTGTAGGAGTTTAAACAGCTCCCACATTTATACCTCTACCTGTATTTGTATGTCGGTACAGTACAGTACAGTACAGGCACTGAGCTACAAAACCATACTATTAAAAGATTTCACCACTCAATTATTACACTGATTGCAGGGCTGGTTGTAATACAAATACACTGATTGCAGGGCTGGTTTAATATTAATACACTGATTGCAGAGCTGGTTGTACCACCAATACACTGATTGCAGGGCTGGTTTAATATTAATACACTGATTGCAGAGCTGGTTGTACCACCAATACACTGATTGCAGGGCTGGTTGTAATATTAATACACTGATTGCAGGGCTGGTTGTACCACCAATACACTGATTGCAGGGTTGGTAGGAATACCAATACACTGATTGCAGGGCTGGTTGGAATACCAATACACTGATTGCAGGGCTGGTTGTACCACCAATACACTGATTGCAGGGCTGGTTGTACCACCAATACACTGATTGCAGGGCTGGTTGTACCACCAATACACTGATTGCAGGGCTGGTTGTACCACCAATACACTGATTGCAGGGTTGGTTGGAATACCATCACACTGATTGCAGGGCTGGTTGTACCACCAATACACTGATTGCAGGGTTGGTAGGAATACCAATACACTGATTGCAGGGCTGGTTGGAATACCAATACACTGATTGCAGGGCTGGTTGTACCACCAATACACTGATTGCAGGGCTGGTTGTACCACCAATACACTGATTGCAGGGTTGGTTGGAATACCAATACACTGATTGCAGGGCTGGTTGTAATACCAATACACTGATTGCAGGGCTGGTTGTACCACCAATACACTGATTGCAGGGTTGGTAGGAATACCAATACACTGATTGCAGGGCTGGTTGGAATACCAATACACTGATTGCAGGGCTGGTTGTACCACCAATACACTGATTGCAGGGCTGGTTGTACCACCAATACACTGATTGCAGGGCTGGTTGTACCACCAATACACTGATTGCAGGGCTGGTTGTACCACCAATACACTGATTGCAGGGCTGGTTGGAATACCAATACACTGATTGCAGGGCTGGTTGGAATACCAATACACTGATTGCAGGGCTGGTTGGAATACCAATACACTGATTGCAGGCCTGGTTGAAATACCAATACACTGATTGCAGGGCTGACTATAATACCAATACACTGATTGCAGGGCCAATACATGTATCAAAACACTGATTTCAGGGCTGTTTGTACTACCAATACACTGGTTGCAGGGCTGGTTGTAATACTAATACACTGATTGCAGGGCTGGATGTACAACCAATACACTGATTGCAGGGCTGGTAGGAATACCAATGCACTGATTGCAGGGCTGACTATAATACCAATACACTGATTGCAGGGCCAATACACGTATCAAAACACTGTTCACAGGTCAGGTCACGTCAGGTCATCAACTCAATTATGTTCTGCACCAGATATATGAGTTTGTAACTACCCAATGATCTAAAAATCTAACCAGTACAAGTATTTTTTTCACATACCGGTATGTATACTCTGAAGTTGAAAACACATGCAGACACAGATATCACATGACAGACAATACCCTGTGGTACTTGGCTACCCATAGCTGGCCACAAGGCTCCACACAGCATGGAGTAATTTGATAATAAATACAAAACACAAAATATAATCGCAATCAGTACAACCATGTTCAAATATCCTATTCCCACTTTCTAGAAATTTGAAACGCATGGTAATGCAATACACGAAGTATCTGTTGGAGATTTGTTAGTTACTTAGGGGGTTCTACAAAAAAAAACTCTGGGATTACCTCCCCTTTTTACTTCTCATAGTTTTGAGCTAGATTTTTTTCAGGATGGTACCGGTATATACATTTTTTTTCTTGCTTTTCTGTAATTTTTCCTATAATTTTTTTTTCTTCTTTCATGAGATGCATTGTATCTTTGTATGTCCAGGAAGCAGAACATTGGGGGGAGGGGTCCTGCAATTTACTGAAATATATTACTAGAAATGGTACATATAACATATTGGCCTTTGATCCTAGAATAGCCTTAACAGCTGTACGTTGATTTGTCTCTCTACCCAGTACACTTGTGAAATGAGACTAAATAAAGAGTAGGGTTAAACTAATATTCATAAAGATAACGATAAAGATATATACAATGCATTTCTTGTTTTCTAGACCTAGACATTTTAGGATACAATGTAATGTAGGTCATTTTGACAACACAACGTGAGTGTGCATACAGTCCTTCAACTCAATACTAGGTGAACCAACAATGAAAAAAAAAAACTTGAAATTAAATTTGCACCCAATGGAGGAACACAATGAGAGTCTCAAAAATAAGTGAACCACAAAGTCTATTCTAGCTTGGTAGTGAAGCTAAAATAGGGTTGGGCAGCAATTAAAACAAACAAAAACTTGGTCAATCAACGAAAAATGTCCACAAGCAAACACAACTGACATTGAAAATATTATTGGGGAGAACGTACCTTCATAACTTTACCATGAGATGGTTGGTAAACATAGTTATCCATTGCTCACCTAAGTGTCACTACATTTTAACAGTCTTAATAAAGTTCCTGATGTCTTTGAAGTTGTTTAACATTCACTGTGGTTGTAACTTTGGCACTCCTCATGCAATCCAGCATAGTCAGGGAACAAACGATTTATGACTATTGACCTCCACTCTAAACAGTGTCAAGGCTTGTATTGTGTGTGCCTGTGTTTTTTAGTGTCGATATAAAGGGAGTACAATGCACCACTAACAATGTTGATACTGACGTCATCAAAATAATAACTGTGTTAGTAAATAGTGAAAAGACCTCAAGGATGTGAACTGGGTGAGAAAATCTACTTATTATATAGTTGGAATGGAGGACAATAATAAATATTCAGGTCAGTCAATAAAGACCCTGCCAATCATCTTGTTTCTCAATGTTTTAGTATTTATTGCTGCATACTAGTATATTTATCTCCATGTTTATTTTATAAACAATATTTTCACACTAATTTTGCAATATTTATTTTCATTTAGGCCCAGCACTAGCAGTATTTTATTTAGTTCCATTCTCTAAAACTTTGAGACAGATTACCTTAACCCTTTGAATGCCATTGTCAACTCTTGGCACCCTTAACAAAATATTTTTTGTACAGTCTGCTTCTCCTCAAATGAAATGTTGATACAAATTTACAAACTTTTTGATTTAAAATCTAAAAAAAATATCTGAAACCGTATATGGTATAAAATGATGATGAAATGTAGTGAAAATGTGCACAATTTTTAATTATTTTCATAAAATTTACAAGCAGGAAAAAATCTGGCTCTCAAAGTATTAAGACATGAGTTAAGAACCCTGGACAAGAAATACTTCCTATTGTCTGCATTGTGTGCACTCTGGATTTATCTTACTATGAAATACACATTATAAAAGTCTACTGCAATTGAATCTCTAATAGAAGCGCATATAAACTTTGTAGCTTCTGCATATTGGTGAAACACACATAAACCATTTATTGTAATTGGATTATTAAAATGACATATTTTGACCATATAGATACATCTCTGTCATAAGCATATGCACTACATTTTTGAAATTTCAACATACTAGTAATCTTACAAATGAATGAAATACACGTTTAATAATGTTTATGGTTGTTCATTACCTTTTCTCTGTCGTCAGCTACATCATATACTTGGTCGTCTAAATCTAAAATTCCACCGTCATTCAAGTTTTCTAAACTTCGAACATTCACCCAGTATTCTGGAGGCTGTAAAGAAAATCAGGGAAATAGATATTGTTAATTATTTGTAGGGAAACACAAACTGAGTGAAACAAATCTCAAGACCAGTAACACATGTGCTTTAAAAAATATAGGCACAAGACCTGTCTAAAGCGGAAACTAAAAACAACCTGTTTTTTTTTTTTTGCTTTTTATAGAAGTCTACTTTATATCTTTTTAATAGCGATAAAAATCTGCAAAAATCTTTTCCAGAATACTGATAACCAGTAAGAAAATGTCCAATTGGTTTAAAATCAATTAATAACTTATAGTAAAATTTATTTAAATGTGTACAATTTTGGCAGAAAAACATAATTTATTTGAAGTATATTCCACTCTTTTAAATCATGTATGAGATTTTTTCTGATGATAAATTTGTGATATATTCAATAATAGAAAATCCAATTTGATAAATTTCAAGATTAGACTTAAAAGCCAAGTACAGATACATATACAATGTAGCATATAAATATTGGATAAATACAATGTATCTTGATATTCTGAAATCATTACACTACATCATGAAATTCAGTGCTATATGGCTTATGTGCTATATTGATGTAAAACTGATCTGTATGGTATGTGACCATATTAAAAGCACATCTCCAATACCAGTGCATGTAGACAAACATTTGTTTGTACTGTAAATGAATTAATTATTCACTATTTTCGCTGATATATATAATCCGCTAAATTATATCTACATGAGCATGTAAAATAACAATAAAATTCATTGTTTCCTTGACAAATTCATGAAATTAATATACAGTGAATCAAAACATCAAAATAGTGAAGTTATATGTCAGTGAAAATAAATGGTTTTACAGTATTGTATACTAGACCATTAAAATATGAAATATTGTAACCATAGACACACCTGTGTCATTCACATGTATGTAAGTGTAAGCAGTAGTAACAGAGTACCATATCATAGCATGTAAGACAACACCAACATTTAATAACAGAACATGTCTGCATTTCAGTGAATTAATAGTTCAGATGGCAGCATTCGACTCAAGCCAGTTAAAAGTAGAGTGAACTCATTCACCTCAAACACCATACATGCATCTGCTGTGACATCTCTAAATGCCTCAATGCATTGCTATTGCTGGCTTCAGCTTCGGAATGTCTCCTTTTCAGAAATGCCGTCACAACCAGACAAAATGCAACTTTAAAATGTTCACTAATATAGCCCTTTGTATCACAATAAAACTAAAAAATATACATTTTCTCTCATTCTTCTTATTCACTCTCATTTTACATTATTTAACATTTTGTAGAAATTATTCAACATTTTGAATGCAGCTTTCACCATAATTTGTCCCGCCAAAATTTTGTGTAGTGTCATGCCCTCTTCATGTAACTATAATTTTTTGGTTAATTTTGGACTAAATGGAAATAATATTTCATTGGCTATCGAATTGAATCATTTTTTCATTGTCATAGAATATTTACTATCATTTATTTATTTTTATGAAAGATGACAAAAATTTGCTGTTTTCATTCAAAAAGTTTACATATTATGGGATGTCTGAGCAATCAAGACTTAAAGCCAAATTGTGTGATTGTTTGATTTACATAAAATGCAAACCTGTGTTTTTCAGAAAATGTTCTCCTCTAGACACAATTTTACTTATAATACAATATATTGATCAGCTCTAATCATTCATGTCAGTTCAGCTTGTCAATCAGAAATTATCTCCTGCTATGAATACAATGAATGTTTAGAGCAGAAGCAACAGAACCCTTCCGAGATGCCAGCAGGAGACGGAACTAAAAGTTTAAAAGTTCATTTTTACTGCCTATGTTCTTACTAATCAAATGCAATAATATTAAAGATGGCTACTGGATTATAAATTGGATACTGCTGGGAAGTGCAGCTAATGTTACATGTACAGAAATTTAGTTGTACTATTCAAGAAGAATATACACAGATATATTTCCCACAAATACTTTACTTTCAGTGACAAACTCATCCTTTCCACATTAATACGGCTGTTTTCTGTGAATTATCTCCCAGTACAGACTTTTTGATGTGGTTGATGAAATAATAGTCGTTTCTTTAAATTTACATGTAGCAGATCCAAATGCAAGTATTATTTCAATATATTGAATATTGCTATAGACACCATATTCTATGTGTATAATGGCACAACATCATAATTTATAAAGCTATCCAGGCATTAGACAGTCTAGAATGATTTATTAAGTTTTATCTGTTTGTGATTCATTAGAAAATGAAACATCTTCATTGGCTTCAGACTGAGGGATAATACCCAGGACAGGGGGCAGTGGAGGGAGCGGGTTAGATTTGAACTTGCATCTACCATGGAACTAATTAACAGTTGGGTCTCTACGTATCACACTGGTGATTAGTCTCATATTTAATCAATATTTGATTACAGATAAATTTCTTTCTACATTGCAAGCATATTCCATCCACCAGCCAATTAACAACTGACAACCATTTTCTTTTTTTGAGATGGTCAAAATAATTCCTTTCTAAGAAAACCATCACATAAACAATTCTTGAGAAAACAGATAACGCAGTCTCTGTGTTCGCTCTCATCTCTATGACAACATGATATTCATTCTGCCTAAGGCGCCAGAGGAGTAGCTAACTATAATAAGGCTGATTCAATTCAGATGTAAAATACCGTATTTTCTCTATCACTAGAAGTAACATATGACCTTACATAAATGTCAGATGCATGTATATGATCATTGTACATGTAAGTTTTTATATAAATAACTTATAATACAAGCATTTTTTTGTTTATGTGTGCTTTTATTAGAGATACACTTATGATAGAGAAAATACAGCACTTATATCTGTGAAACAGACACTTGGGTGTGGTACAAAGTGATAAATACTTGGGCAGGGTACAAACAGTGATAAACTACCCTAGTTTATCGGATGATGGTAGACATGCATGCAAGTAATGATAAACATGTATGAAGAATTCTATTCCAGAATTATGAAATTCAGCAATTCTGTGAAACCACAATATTTCAAATACGAGTAGACGGATGGTGGTTGGACCATACAAATCGATGAGTTATACGAAGGATACGACAAATCGTTTAAACGTCAGGAAAGACAAATCGAGTGAGATTCTGTGTTTTCAAGATGGGGCAGTTCAGTACATCCTGAAAATTTGTATCAGTAAAATGTTTAAGAGTACCGTTACATGTGTACATCTGAAAACAATATGGTTACAACCATGACATTAATCAGCCCAATCACATTGTACGGTGGTGCGAAGAAATAGAACTGCTTTATGTTGAGAATACTCACAAACAATTCACGCAGTAATGGCTACTTTTAGAGAAAGCAAGTATTCCGACAGAAACAGCATAGTCTGGACACAGGAAGATGTACTATAACTTCATGATGTACTCCAAACGTTTGTACCAGTTTTGGTGATAACCAGCAATTCGCAAAACAAAGTTAACCAAGAGTTTATAACAAGAGTTTGTTTATGTCTAAGTCTGATGATATGCTGTACAGCAGGGTGCATAAGAGAGAGTGATCTGATTCCCAGCATATCAGAGCTGAGTTCTAGGAATGTCAACTATTTGAACTGTGTGGGTCACCCATGGATATCTGACATGTTGTCTAATTGTTGTATCATAGAAGCCTGCAGTGTCAATCAGAATGGCTGCCCAGCTTGTTTACACTCAAGAGTAAGTATATTCATGATGGACATCCACGGTAATTGATGTTTAGAATACTTATTGCAAGCCATTCTTAGTCTGGGATAACATTTTATGTTGAATTTATGAGAATGATGATGATGCCATCAAGATTTGTTGCATGGATGACATATTGTGCAGACTTGTGTGACGCTGAATACATGTGTTTTTGTTGCATGGATGACATATTGTGCAGACTTGTGTGACGCTGAATACATGTGTTTTTGTTGCATGAATGCTTTAGCATTTCCATATTCATGCAAAGTATCCTGCTAGCATCAAACAATACAGTTCAATGTCAGTTGAGTTCACTTAGTACAGCCATCTGTGTCCCTAATCAACAATTCAAGCGAAAAGGAAACATGAGAAAATCCTGTGTAATACATGTACATGTATCTGGATTTCTTACTATGTAAATACACACCATCAATATAGCAAAAGGCTCTACCATTCATTGAACACATAATAGGGGGAAACAAATATAGAAAAAGTATTAAATTGATTATTTCTTATATCAATAAAACAAAACAAAAAACATAAGTGAAAATTCTACAGCAATATGTCCACTATCACATGACATGATAAATTAGTGTGAACTGACTGTGTTAACATATACAGTTGTATGTCCAAATTGAGTTGCCTTAATTGTCATTGATATGACTACAGAATCAGAGGTTGTGTATGAGTTTATGTATACAAGCATAAAAAGAAACCAATAGTTTGAGACTAGATGTACATTTTTACATAACTCTTTAAAAAGGGTATTTACTTCTACGTTTTGGCTGTCTGGATAGGGGCATGGGATACTTGTAGCACACCTCTATTATATTTCAGGGCAGTGAGAAACCTGACATCCCACCTTAAAATATTACAAATTAAGTCATGCATTTTGAACATGCATACCATACTTGTTCTATTAGACTCACTGGCAATCTCTTTTCTCTAATTGGTAAAACATTTCTTGTAATTTCTTATAGTGTCAATTTGTAAAAGCCATTTCCAAACTGTTGACATTGAAAGCATAGCATGTACATGTATGTTAAATACAGATGAAAAAGATGACTGTGGGGTAGCATCCAGGTCACCAGGAGCATCAAGTGAACCTCAAGAAAAACAGTACAAGATGGCAACTCACTGTTGCTCCTGGGTGAAATGTCAATTACGTTGTCATCTTGAGAGGCTAAGTCTCTATCTGACAGCCTCTCACTGATGATTTTATGTGTCCAAAATTTCCAATAATAGTGTGATTTTCTTTAGTCATGATCGAACAAAATGTCAACCACTCAACACTT